CCAAGCTGGGTTCCAAAGGGGAGGCACTGGGTTCTTGCTGTTGTTTTTGATTGCTGGCAAGATGGGGATAGGGGGTGAGAGGGTGGGTAAGGAGCAGTTAACCTTGTGATATGAAAGTTTCTTAAAGCTGCTGTAACAAATTACCACACACTTGGTGGCTGAAAACAACAGAAATGTATTCTCTCATGGTTCTGGAAGTTAGAAGTCCAAATTCAAGGTGTCAGCCGAGCTGGCTCTTCTGGAGGCTCTGAGGGAGGATCTGTTCCCTCCCTCTCTCGCAGCTCCTGGTGGGTGCTGGCAATCCTCAGTTCTCCGGCTTGGAAGATGTGTCACTCCACTCCCTGCTCTTCTCCCTGTGTGTCTGTGTCCCAATTTCCCTCTTCTTGTTGGGACACTAGTCACTGGATTAGGGCCCGTCCAGTGTGACTTCATTTTAACTTGATTGCCTCTGCAAAGACCTTATTTCAAATAATGTCACATTTACAGGTTCTGGGTGAACATAAAAGTAGGAGGGGACACTGCTGAATCCAGTAAAGGTAACAGCTTTTCTGATGTCCAGGCCACTAGGAAGGGACAGGGGCAGGGTCACATGGAGCAGTAGAAAATGGCGATGAAGGCCACAAAGGTCATTGTACACTCAGTGAAAAACAACTCCATTGCAGAGAGAGGAGGAAATCTGGAAGTAGGTCAGACTGCATGTCACTTGTCTTGGGGGGGATGCATGGACGTGGATGGTTGTTTTAGGTATAGTACAGTGTTTGGCCTAGATGTTCTGGAAGGTTCAGATTTGAAAATAAAGTGACACAAGGTAAACTATTTTTAGGGATTAAGATTCACCTGGCAAGACAAATAGGATGGCCTGTGTTCAGGTAATGGATGGGTTTAGATCTGCTGAAGATGGATGGATCTTCTCTTGCTCCTTCTCTCTGCCAAGGTGGGGCAGCAGGAGCTCCCTCCCCGCTGCCAGTCCTGCTGCAGTGGGGCTCCCAGGCTGGCCCTCTCCCCTGGTCACTGGGGAGAGCTCACACTGCTGAGGGTGGAGGATGCAGGGGACAGAGTGCCAGCCGTGCAGATGAAGCCCAAGCACACCCTGAGGTGTCAGAGCCAGAACTAGGGTCATCTGAGAGGCTCTTCCTTTCACTGGGAGGGTCCTTACACTCTTCAAGTTTATTTTTTGAATATGAACATTCATGAATTTCATACTGAGACCCCTTAGAGCTGCTTTTCCGGGCAGGTCTCAGACTCTTGTTCACTGGCTGATCTATGCACCCTGAGATGTCAGGGGCAGCCCCTCCTACCCAGAGTTTCCCTGTCTTGATTTATATAGTAGCCTGCTTCTGTGCAATTAATTTAAAACTTCATCTTTTATGCCCTTTTTATGACAAAAAGAAATACAGTGCTGACATGAAGCATAGGTCCCAAGCCTAACAGCCAACTGAAGCAAAAATGGGAGTCCTTAGGGGTCTAGGAACTCGTCAGGCTCTCAGGGGACCTATATTAGCCACCCGTGAATTCAGTAGAGGAAAAGAGTGAAAAACATGTACATGTGCAGAAAATATATCACCAAAGGTCGTATCTCAAAAGGCAGAGAGTATTGGGAATTATTCTAATGTGTTTTAGGTTGCCAAACACAAAAATCTGGTATTTAATCTCACAGGTCTTCCAGAGTGCCTCGTGCATGGAGGCCTGTACTGGCTTTAGCTAGGAAGATTGGTGGGCGTTCGTTTCTAGGTTGGGCAAAATCACCGGCTTGGGGGCCATGTACATGTTAATATCTCCATGATGATTGGGGCAGGGCGCTGAGTGCTGCACAGGCAGCTTTCCTGCACATTCCTCGACTGTCCTGCCCTTACCAACCAAGCTAGAAGATCAGATCTGCCCACTCCTCCTGACCAGGGGTCAAGGGCTGCTCCCAAATTCCTTCTGCCTAGGATGCCCTCCTGTATAACCCACCTGCCCCACAACTGCCTAACCCTCGCCCATCTTCAAAACTCAGCCAAGATGCCGCCTCTCTAAGGGGCCTTCCTTGACCCCCTCTGAGTCCAAAGCCACACTGGCCCCAGGTAGGAGGAAAACACAAGGGATGTTCATCGATTACCAGGGTAGGAGAGCAAACCACGTGTCTAAACCGGTTAAATAAGCCACGGAACAGCCACAGGACATTAGGTAGCCATTAAAACGTCCATGTTTCCATGGACTACTTAACATGCGAAAATGCCCCCGGAAGAATATTAAGTAACTGGAATAAAACCATATAAAACATATTCTTAGCTTTATACAGATAGTCATACTCACATCTGTAATATACATAGGAAAAAATAGTACAAAGAATGACACTGAAATGTACACAGTGGCTATCTCTTAATGGTGAGATTAAAAGATTTTTAAATTTCTTATACTTGCCCAAATTTTGAAACTTTGACTCAAAACCTAATAATCAGAACAATTCCATTTTTTAATGGAATCGTAAATATTTGCTAGTCGTAAGCTTGCATGCCCTCTAATATTCTTGCCAAAATGCCACCTGACCTCTGCTCGAACCCTCCAGTGATGGGAACTCACTACCCTTTGAGGCCTTTTTTCGGCCACTTCTTCCTCATGAGTAGATATCTGCTGGCTTTAGCCTCCCCCACTGGCCACAGGGCTGCCTTCTGGAACAACAAGAACAAAGCTGCTTTCCATGCCCCTTGATAAGACTTCAGAGATTTGAAGGCAGAGGCCAGACGCTAGGCTGCATCCTCCCACCCTGCCCACATCAGCCTTCCAAGGATACTGATATCCTTTACCTCCCACGTCCCAAGGTACTTGCCTTGGGTACACTCTAGGCAGTGATGTCCTTAAAACATAACATTAAGCCTATGCCTCCTTATCTCTTTCAGAGGCACCCTTCCTGCTAGTCAGGGTATTAGGGACTCTGTCACATACAGTCTTTCATCTAATCTTTAGAACAACCCTATGGCACAGGAGCGAATACCACGCCTGTCTTACAGATGAGGAAACTGAGGCATGGAGAAGCCAGGCCACTCTTAATTCACTTAATGGATCTTCCATGCATGTAGTCACGATTGAACCAGCATCCAACCCAGAGCCCAGTGTGGTCGACCCACAAATGTTTGCCAAGTTAGTAAACGAATAGGTGAACTCAGTTTTAAAGGCCAGGCCCTTGGTGTCTACTGGTTGATTTCAGAATTACCCATGCCCGCACCAGCCTCTTCCATATCATTCACTTCTGTCACCTGGCTTGCTACATGGACGTGCTCATGAAGGGCTGCTGAATGACTGACCCACCGAGTACCTGTCACCTGAGGCCCAGCTTTGGCAGCTGTGCTGAGCCCCTTCTCAGAGGCCCTGCTTGGAACTATGGAGCCGTAGCCACAGCCTTTGGGACTGGAGAGTTCAAACATCATTCCTGGTACTCTGCAGAGTCACACAAAGGGAGTCAGCCGCGAGGTGCCTCCTGAACTGCTCCCCTGGCCCCTCCCCGCCCCCGTTCTACCCTATTGCCCAAGGGAGGCTGGTAACCTGTTGGGGATACGAAGGCCTCTCCTTACCACCATGGCCGGTGAGCCCCCAGAAGGCTTGTTTCCTTGACCGCTACCCATTCTGCCTGGCCTTCTCCTGAGTCCTCCTGGGGCATGTGACCACATTAGCCATGGTCTTTGCCAAGAAGAAGGGTTTAGGCAGGACCACATGATCCAGATGGTTCCTCAGCACCCACTCCCAGTCTGCTGGGAACCCCATTTATTCATTCCCAGCATTTCAACTTGTCCCAATAAGGCAGTGACCTAGTCCCAGGCCAGGCCTCTCAGGGTGGTCTAGAACATCTAGTCAGCCAAGCCCAACAGGCACCATAGACCACAGAACACAGCAGACCCCCAGATCCTTGAACCTGGAGGGACATGAGACGGCATCACAGTCAAGCTCCTGTCCCTAGCCAGGATAATCCTTGCTAAAAGCACCAGCCTCATTCCTTGCTGCCTGCCACCTCCATTCTCCACAAAGAACCCCCACACACCGTGCTTTCAGTGGCTCAGCCTTTGCTTAGGCCTTGGCCATGAGTGGGTAATTCCTGCCATACTTTCCAAACCACCCTCCCTCCAAAAACCCTTCCTGCATCTCTCAAGGCTGAATGTGATGCTCCTGCTGCTCCCTAGGCCAACCCCTAGCATGGCTCTTATTTGTCCCTCATTCACTCAAATATCTACTTAGCACCTGTTCCGCGGTCTGCATAAGGCAATGAGCACCAGATGGGGAGTGCAGAAAGCCAGGCTCAACTGCACAGCTTTGCCACCAACTGGCTGTGTGACTTTGGACCCATCATTCCTCACTGAGCCTCAGTTTCCTCGGTAAAGTGGGAAAGATTCTGCAGCTCAGCCTAGCTTTCAGGGCTTCTGTGAGACTGGGCAGGATGTGAAAGCATTCTGCAAACATGCAGGGTGAGTCATGATTATCAGAACCTAACCCCTCTGTAGCCTGAGCTCATTTTTGTCCATCCCATCCCTGGAGTCCCCCTCTCTCCCAGGGGGCTGACAGCCTGTTGGGGATGAACTTGGGAGCTCATGCCTTCCAAGGGGTTAGCACCTGGGTGAGAAACTGGGCAGGAGCACAGCCTACAGGGATGGCAACTTTAAACAAAACCAGCCCATAAATCTTGCCATATAGGGGCAGGGGCCTGGCATGGCTGGGGCCAAGAATGCATGCCAGGCTGTTCTGAGGCAACAAAAGTAAAAGATTTGATGCTAAAGTCATCAAGAAGCCACTGGAAGCACAGCGGGATGAGGTGGAGACAAAGAACACGGGGCCAGGGGACTAGATACCTGCGTTTTGCTCTGCGTTGCTCTGTGACCTCAGTCATGTCCCTTCCCTTTTCTAGGCCTTAACCTCCTATCTGTATAGCGGATGCATCAGCCCAGGTGGTACCTAAAGGCCCTTTCAAACTCAGACAGGCTGTGCCAGCTTTACTTGCCCTTCAGAGCTTTGGCTGTGCCAGGGACAGGCAGGAACAGCTGGTAAGTCTCTCAGAAGAAGCAGGAGCCAAAGAAGCTGTGCTTACTGTGACCTCCTCTTCCAGCTTGTGGAAGGGTCAAGCTCTTCCCTGCTTCCTCTACCTCTGGGTAGACGGAATTCACCCTTGGTCCACTTTGCAAGCTACAAGGCTGACACAGGTGCAGAGAACACAGACTCTCAGATGCTTAGGGATCATCCTGCTGATCACTTCCCATACAGGGAGAAACTGAGACCCAGGGAGCCACAAGGGCTTGCTTGGGGTCACCCAGTATGTTTGTGGCACCACTAGGACTTACACTCAGGACTAACGTCTGCCTACCACTTGCTCAGTTACAAGTCTCAGCCGAGGCTCAGGTCTCTCCACCTCGTTATCCCTGTCAGCCAGCCCCTTCCTTCTACTGATAGAGCCAAGCCTCAGTTTCCCTGTTGGAGTGAGGAAAGACATGAGGGTTTCTAGGTCGGGGGTTGGTGAGGATTTTCGATCTGGTAATAAAGGGAGAGCACGGAAAGCCAGGAAGTATCAGACAGAGCAGGGAGTAGAATCCTCCAGGCTAGGACAGTACTGTTAGGCAGAAAAACGTGTACTCAGGGCACAAGCAAAGCAGGAGCAGAGGGAGGACTAAAGTTCACTGCAAAACTATTAAATATTGTCACAGTTTGGGACCTCTCTGGGTCTCAAGGGGGAATGATAATAATGCTTATGGGATTATCTAATCCCACCCGGCTAGGGGGCAGGCAGTGGTAGGAAAAGGGGCCAGAATTTGAGGGTCCTCCTTCCCCTCTGCTTCACAGTGTCCCCCCAGGAGGCTATCCTTCAAGCTCCAGGTTCCGACCTTCCGGGCTCGGCAGACCCCAAGGGGCAGCTGGTCTCACTACAAGAAACCTGAGAATTGTCCCCTGGGCCCTAACCCAGCTTCAAGGCCCCTTGGGGGAAGGACAGGAAGGGAGGAGAGGGCCACAGAAGGCAGTAGATCTCCTCCCTCTTTGGCCCCTCCCAGTTACCCCAAGGGCAGCCCACACTCACCAGCTCCGGGGCCTGCAAGAGCCCTAAGACCAGCGCCTCAAACTTTAAAGCGTCATCACCTGGGCATATTGTTAAAACGCAGCTTCTCCCTTGGCAAGACTGGGCCAGAGCCTGAGATTCTGCATTTGTAACAGGTCCCGAGTGATGCCGATACTGCGAGTCTGTGGCACACTCTTGGAGCAGCCCTGAGATTATCAGCCTCCAACCCCGCGGGGAGGAAGCCGAAGGCCCAGAGAGGTCAAGTCACTTGTCCATGGCCACACAGCGAACAGCCCCAGACCGAAAGCAGAGGGCACCTGCCACAGACACACGACATCTCCCCACCCGAGGCAGCGGGAATCAGCTGCCGTTGCCTGGCCCGGGTGCCGTGTTTGTAAACTCGGCTGCTTGGTGCGGCTCCGGTCGGGGTAAAGGGCGCCTCCCAGCAGAGTCTCCCTCGTCTCTGAGCCGGCCTCTCCAGGTTCTCAGTCCGGTACCCCGGGCCGACCAGAGAGAACCCGGGGCGCCGAGTCCCCTAGGCAGAGCGATTCCGCACTCCCCTGTCCTCGGAAAGCAAACTTCTCCGCCGGCGCCCTTTACCTTTTTCGGGGGTTTGCAGCTGCTCAGCCTGCTATGTCTGCAGCCCATCCTCCTCCGGGGGCTCCCGGACGCCGCTTCCCAACTCCGGGGCCCCCAGAGGAGCCTGCGGTCCGGGCCCCGCTGCCCGGTCCGGGCCCCGCTGCCCGCTCCGCGCCCGCCGGCTGCGGCTGCCGGCGAGACCCTGAAACTGAACCTGGAAGCGCTGTATTGAGCCTGAGCTGGGGCGGCCGCGCGCCGTAAATACCCGAAGAGCGGGGCCTCCGCGTAGCCTGCAGGGCCAGCGGCGCGGCCACCCTAGAGGCAGGTGACCAGAATCTTTCTAAATAATAGGAAGCTCTGGTCAGGGCAGAAACAAAAACCTTGAGGAGCAACACATGCTTTTCCAAACCCTCAGGCTAAGAAAGGGCCATGGGAAAAAATAATTGAAACAATTATTTGATAAACTAACAGCTATCATTTATTGAGGGCTGTTTTTGTCCCAGTTGTTTTATACATTTGATTTATATTTCTTGCCATATCCGTGCAACAAAGGTATTACTTCCTCCATTTTACAGGTGAGGAAAATGGTGTTCAGAGATGCAAAATGATTTGCCTAAGGTCACATGGCTAGTAAGTTACCACAGCCCAGAGAGAATCCAGTTCCTTTTTTTTTTTTTTTTTTTTTTTTTTTGGCGCTATCATAGCTCACCGCAGCCTCAAACTCCTGGGCTCAAGCGAGCCTCCCAGCTAAGCCTCCTGAGTAGCTGGGACTACAGAGGCACACCATCATACCCAACTAATTTCTTTTCTTTTTTCCAGTCTGATTTTGAACGACTGTCCTCAAGTGATCCTCCCACCCTGGCCTCCCAAAGCCTCGGGATTACAGGCTTGAGCCACTGCACAGAATACAGTTCTAACTCCAGAACCTAAGCTTTGACTCAATGGCCTACAAATAAATAATAATAATAAGTTTATTTTATTTATTTATTTATTTATTTATTTTTGAGACAGAGTCTCGCTCTGTTGCCCAGGCTAGAGTGCAGTGACACAATCTTGGCTCACTGCAACCTCTGCCTCACAGGTTCAAGTGATTCTCCTGCCTCAGCCTCCCAAGTAGCTGGAATTACAGGCAAACACCACAACACCCAACTAATTTTTGTATTTTTAGTAGAGACAGGGTTTCACCATTTTGACCAGGCTGATCTCAAACTCCTGACCTCAGGTAATCTGCCCGCTTTGGCCTCCCAAAGTCCTAGGATCCCATGCCAGGCCAATAATACTAAGTTTAATTTTAATGCCTCCTTACTTCTGGGCTGATAGTTTTTTTCCACCTCACAAGCATCTGTAATATGCATCTTGGATGGATGTTATTCATCACAACAACCTCTTGAGGCAGGCCAGGTATGGTGAGACTATGAGACATAAAATGTCAGTGTCTAGGAAAAGGAGCTTTTGTTTATCTTCACTTTGTTATTAGCTGAGGTTTCTGGAAGGGCAATGCAGGAAAAAGATAACTAATTTTGAAAACCAGTGTGTATGCCTATTTCCGTGTATATTGGAATATTAGAGTCAGGGCCAAAACTCTTGGAAAGGTGTGCTGCGAAAAGTGCTTAGACTCATGAATGGGGAAAGAATATGAGACCTCAAAAAAATTACTCCCTCCATAGAGTACAAAACCAATTGCAAAAGTGTGTGAGAAAGGAAACTAAGGAAATGTGATATTAGGTTCTCAAAAGCAGGTATAATAGAGAATGGCGGCTCACAAAGTGTGATTCCCAAATCAGCAGTGTCAGCACTACCAGCTGCCTTTGTTGGAAATGCAAATTCTCAGGCCCCACCCCTGGCCTAAAGTCTGGGGATGGGGCTTAGGAATCTATAGCTTCATGAGCACTCCAGGCATGTCTGGCCTGGGCTACATTTGAGAACCCCTGCCATAAGACGTGCTCCACAGGTCCTGAAGAAACAGGGTATACTTAAATTATACTTAAATTCACAATGTTTATTGGAGCAGTGCTCGTGATTAAAAACAAAGAACACAAAACAACCTAAACAGCCAAGAAAAGAAGCTTGGTTAAATATCTTATGCTATATCCATA